TTGTACTCTAGAGTCTCCTTCACAACCTCTTCTGGAATATTACGCAAGTCCATCTGAAAAATCAGGAGATGACAGTGAAGCCAAAGATTTAAAAACAACTCGTCTCCAGAATATGAAATGGGTTCTTGATAATCATATGTACCAGTGCTTCTAATGGAACAACCAGAGATCATATATTTACCTTGAGCTTCTCGCTCTCCCTCACAGCCTCCTGGAGCTCCACCTGCAGTTTCTCCAACTCTGCCATTCGGCTATTGGCCAACTCCTGGTTGTGCTCCAACTCTGCATTGAGACTCTCAAACTAGGACAAAAACAAACATCTTATAGATAGGACAAATGTGCATGGTATAACCTTGAGTTACATGCAAAGATATAGACATATATCACACAAAATAAATTACAATTATTTCCTGTTCACCTTCTGAATGTTCAGTGTAATCTGGCCTCCAGGTAGTCCACCTGAACTGCCGGTGCTGCTGTATCCAGACTTTAGCTGTAGACAGCAAATGCAGAACATAGATCAAAAAAGGAACAAACGTGACAGAAAAACAACATAAAAGCACACAGCACACATCCTACGACATCCATCAGATAATGCTCATGTTCAGATAGCTGATGCAAGTAACACCACTTCATCAATGCACACATGGACAGCGAGATGTGCATCACTAAGAACAGCTGGTCAAATAATTTATATGAGAAATAACAGCATGAGCATACACCTTATGGACAAAATAAAAGCACACGCACAGACACACACACATACACACACACACACACACACACACCCTCAAGAAAGAGGCACAGACACAAAAGTTGCACATAGACAATTTCATACAAATGTACCTGCTCCATGGCCTCTGCCAGATGTTTGTTGAGCTTTTGTTCTCTATTGCGGAGTTTCTCAATGTCCCACTGCAGGTCCTCCACTGTCGTCTCCATCTCAGACACCTTGGTCTCAGAGCTGGTCACCTTGTCCACTAACTCATTGTACTGCAATAAGAACAAAGGCACCACAACAGCTGTGTCATGAGTTAAGTACACACAGCAAAGATAATGACTACACTGACGGTTTTACGATTTTCTCATTCACATACTATTTGTGATACACGCTTGCTTGCCCACACACAAGCACAAATATTAATCATTTTACAGTGACACCCGCTGACAATGCCAAGGACCCTGTACCTCCATGGACATCTTGTGGTGTCGGCCCTGCAGCAGAGTGGCCAGGTCTCGCAGTCGGCTGTTCTCCTCCTGCAGAGTGTGGTTCATGTTGATGATTTCAGACTGGCTATCGTCTTCATATGCTGCCAATGAAGACAAAGGTAGTCGTGCAAAATTAGAGTGGAGCTTACGAGTGTCAAAATACCATATTCACATTTATGTAGACCAACAACTCGATAATGACACATAAAACCCAATTAGTAGCAGGTAATTAGTTTTAACGTAGGATATAAAATGTGCAGCACGTGTGAATGTCTCCACAGTTACCTGCAGCCTGGACCTGCTTGCACATGCTGTCGATGCGGCTGTGCAGCCTGTCAAAGACACAGACCAAGCAGGCGATGGCTTCCTTGCTGAACTGCATGCGGTCTTGGAGGTGCAGGGTGAGCTCCTCCTCGCTGCTGTGCTCCAATGTAGTCAGGAAACCCTTGGCATTGTCACTCAGGGGAGGAGGGGGCGGCGATGCATCTAAACATAATAGGAGGTGGTTATGTAGGAGATAACTTTCAATCTTTACATAGAAAAATGGAAACTGTGTGTGTGCTCATTAAAACTTAAGATATGTTTGAGTTCCAGCCATTGACTGACGGTTTAGCATTTTGCAAGTTCTCTGATATTTAAAACATGAAGCAATGAATGAGGCAAATACAGACAGAGGGAGGTTAGCATTACTTAACAGCCTTAAAGGCTTCATGCTTTTTGCCAGAAGAGTGTACCAAAGCATAAAAGGGAAGTCTTCTTCACACCTCCAACATTTTTTGTCGCTTGTCTTTTAAGATATTTTTAGATTCAGTAATATTGTTTCAGCCTCAAAGCCCCTTGAGACTGATTGTGTTTTGTGATACTGGGCTATATAAATAAAAGTTGACTTGACCCTCTGCCTTTTCCTTCATTTTCAGCAGGTGTTTTCACTTTGAGAGAATACACATCCATCACCGTAACCAAACTATGATTCTATCAGATGTTTTCTTGGTATTTTGTGGCACATACATGCTGTTTGATTTCCATCTATCCTTATTAAGCAATAAAAAAAATAGCAACATGTGTAAACAACAGTAGCAACATAATAGAAAGAAGGGGTTTTAAGTTAGATACAGAAGGGGGACTGACTTAAAAGTAACCTAATGTGGTGTCATACCCATGTAACCACCTTTGTTCAACTATTAATATAAAATAAAGTCACATTACAGATTATATGGTCAAATTATAACAATCCATAAATACAGTCAGTGATGGAGCCGCTTGGTCAGAAAAACCCTGCCTACCTGTTGTTGAGTCCTGTGGCGGCTCTGTGGGCGATAACAACTCTTCTGAGCCAGCAGGAGGAGGGGGCTGCTGCTCCTCCTGGCGCTCGTCCGGACGCTCCTCCTGCTGATGCTGCTCTGCCTGCTCCCCCTCATTCTGGGCCTCTGGGAGTGGAGGTGGAGGCACGGCAGATGTCGGTGAGGTTAGATTAACACCATCTTCCTCCATTGGTGTGGGATCAGGGAGCGGGCATGAGGGTGGAGCAGGGGTAGACGTCACCGGAGCTTCTGGCTCAATACGTTTGCGTAGAACGTGCACACACTCTTCCAACTGCAAATCAAAAACACAAGATTTAAAAGAAGTGTTAATCCTCTGGAAAAAGCATTACCATGGGTAAATGTTTTGTGCAACAAACATCAGAATTTGTAAAATCTTTTGAGTATTATTACAATGTAATAGGTCATCTTTTATCGTTAAAGCTTTTAGCCTTTGTTACTGTTTACAGATGAAGAGTAACAGGACAGGGGGGTTGACGTGCAGCAAAGAGCAGGGATCAGAATCAAACCGAGGCTGTTGCAGACTCAGCCTTAGTATATGGTGCGCCAGCCACCAAGACACCCCTAAACCTGTGTTAACATGGTACATACCTTTTATGAACCCAGTTTCAGCTCAAACAGGGTTATAATTAGTTTAAAACAATGTAATCAAATGTGCAGAAGTACCTGCGACCAGTAGCGGTTGACAATCAGCAGGGTGGTGTCATCAGTGGCTTGCCTCTTCTCCAACTTCTCAATTTTCTCTCGTAACTCATCCTCCATCGCCTGTCTCTGCTCCAAGCGCTCACACAGCTTCTTATTCTTAAACTGGAGGACCTTCATGTCCATTTCCTCCTGCACAGAGCAAATACAGACGCCGAGGTGAGGAACAACAGGGATTCTGAATGTTGCTGAGATGATGTGCAGTGTCACATTAGGGTACAAATTCATCGTGATGGAAGTGGGGGAAAAAAAAAAAAAAGATTACAAATAGTGAGAGTAAACACCAAATGACTGACCGTGGAGGAGACTCCAGCTATGCGTATGGGCTCAATGAGAGTGGTGGTGGTCTTCTCCTCTTTTTTGCTTTTCTTCTCAGGTGGTCCAGGGGGGCTGTCCCCACCTGAGGGACGTTTTCCTCCCCCAGCACCTGACATCGTGTCTTCCCCTGCAAGAGACAAAACATGACATGAAACCTTTGCATCGGTACAGCTTTAGGGAGCTACAGATTCGTTTGCAAATGGAGAACTCATTCATTTGATGTCAACTAGCTTTGTCTTCCAGTACCAGCGCAGGGCCACTGATTTTAACTAGTTTAAAATACTGAACGTGTGCTGTTTATATGGAAACGTGTGTTCAGGGACGGTTAAGCGGACTGATATTGTATAAGCCACAGCCCGAGAAGCTGCCGACATTTTTTAATTTGCCTTTTTTTTTGGCCAAGATTAACGAACATTAGCGAACTTGCTAACGCTAGCTATGCTAACGCTAACGTTAATTCTGCGAGAGCTGTTAAAGCTACACGGCGCTCTTTGTACGGCGATATAAAGTCTGCTGGGTTTATTCACTGACCGTCCAAACACGCAGAAGACAATCTGTAAAGAAACTCTGAATGCACACACATATATAAACCCTTGTGTGTCAAATATCAACGTTACAAACCTTCACAAGGAGCGATTGAAAAGGTAACTCAGTGCTGCAGGAAATTACGACAAGTCACTTCTTCTTCTTCTTTGTATTTTCTTTTGGCGGACTGCAATCTCAATTTACAGGTGCATACCGCCACCTACCGTACCGGAGGATGTGGAACCGGGTTTAAGTCTTTGAACATAATAAATAAACAAATAAACAAGAACTGTATTCTACTAAACAATTGTGTGTTTATTAAGAAACGTATAAGCTCTCTCGGTACTTCCCAAACCTTCTCTCATTTGTCCCTAACATCCTCACCCAGCCTCTCTCACCCTTTGTTATAAACTTACCCTCTCTTCAGTGCATTACATGTTCAACATTTTCACTTATATTACAATGCACACATACTTGTGAATTTATCTTACCCGATAACAATAATGTCTTATTCAAACCAGTGATATCAGATCTTAATCTAGATATAACTACCTCCTCTCTTCTATTTCTTCCTGTAACATATGTTCTACCCCTTTGCTGTCTCCATCCCACCTTTGGGGGCCAAATGTCTTTTTTATTAGTGCTTCTACCTTTCCCAAATCAAAGTATTATTATTATATTCCTCATATTTATACAGCACTGCACATCCACAGAGAGAATAAGAAATTATAAATAATAAACATCAGTTGTGTTACATTATTTGGGTATCTTGCCCTAAAATGTAGCTACTAAACCCTAAAAATACTATATTATTATTATTATTATCATTATTATTATTATTATTATTATTATTAAATGAACCGTGCTGCAATCCCCACTCCGGCCTCACGGGGGCAGTACTGCCACACTGTGTAATGACAGACTACAGGCAGTTTCGAGGAATGTGAGTAGACTGTAAACAGAGCTCAGGTTCTGGCTAACTCTTTGCTATTGTCGCTGCTGAATTGAACACACTTATGGCTTCACGATAGGTTTCTGGAGGTGAGATGGCATTATTTTACTGATTCCTTAATTCCGCCGTCTCCCTTCCCCTCGTTGTCGTTTGATAGCATACACGGTGAGTAGCTTCCTCGTTAGTAACTTACGGTCAGTGAACCTGCTGCTGCTGCAAGGCCAAATGAAAGACTCCGCTTGCTCACTGTCATAATGGACCAAATAACAGTAGGGAGGTAATGTGTGTGTATGTAGCGAGCAGATCCCAACGATGTCCCGCTAACTAGGATTCATTTAAAGCAATACAAACACTTCCTAGTCAGGAGTTAGATCAGTAGTTCCTGCTACAGATCATGCAGCACTGTGACAGAGTGAGACATGTGACTGACAATTTGTTGTTGTTGTTATAGATTCATATGCTGTCACCATGACCAAAGACATAGTTGTTGGAGATGAACTACCAGACTGGGTGGGGGCCAAGGAGTTTTACCAGAAATATGACCCCAAAGAGGTGATTGGCAGGTGAGTCCAGCAAAATAACCTGAAATGGGATCCCAGTTGTCTGTTGGGATGATGAAATAAAAACCCATGCTGTAATGTGTGTGAATGCTGTCTCAGGGGTGTGAGCAGTGTGGTGCGCAGGTGTGTGCACAGACACACGGGTCAGGAGCTGGCAGTGAAGATTATTGAGATCACAGCGGAGAAGATGACCGCTCAGCAGCTGGAGGAGGTGAAAACCTCGACCCTGAAGGAGATCCAAGTCCTCAACATGGTGAAGGAACACTCCTCAATCAGTATGTTGGACTTCTGCTCTTTTGGACACTTTAATGTTCTCTTCTTGGGGATTCAAAAGTACTAAAACCGTGTTATGTTTTTTTTCCTTTAGTTACTCTGATTGATTCCTATGAGTCCACAACCTTCATATTTTTGGTGTTTGACCTGTGAGTATTACAACAAATACAATGCAGTGGTCTTTGTGGTCCCGCCGTAAAATGTGAATGTTGTAGACTGGTATCACTCTCTTGTTGTCATTTTACAGCATGAGGCGAGGAGAGCTGTTTGACTACCTCACAGAAAAAGTGACTCTGAGTGAGAAGGAAACCAGGTGAGCTTCAGCATCAACACGCCCCATCAGCTAATTCAATGTGGCAGCATTTTTGGCCAGAGTCACACTCTTGTAGCAGAACAAAGTTAGGCCTTATTAAAGCTTTATAACTGTGTGTCCGCCGCCAAATCATTTATTATTTACATTTCTGCAGAGCATTTTCCAAAATATACCCAGATTTTTTTATGGTGCAGTGAATGTGTTTTTCAAACTGAAGTTTCTTTTCAGACAAAAGTTGACATGAAAGTTACATCTCATGGTTCAGGAAATAAATGAAGCCAATGGCTGCCTGGAAATGATGATGCCTTTTGTAAAACCCGTTGCTCTACAGGAGCATGGTGCGAGCTCTGCTGGAGGCCGTGCAGTACCTCCACTCCCTCAACATCATCCACCGGGACTTGAAACCTGAGAATATTCTCCTGGATGATCAGGGACACATCAAACTATCCGATTTTGGATTTTCAGTGCAGCTACAGCCTGGAGAGAAACTTAGAGGTACATTAGTATAACATGATGACTGAAGGTCAATATTAAAGATCATTTGTATAGACACAGGTTCAAATGATCTGTTTTCTCTTTTGTTCTAATTAGAGCTTTGTGGCACACCTGGTTATTTGGCCCCGGAAATACTGAAATGTTCAATGGATGAAATGCACCTAGGCTATGGCAAAGAGGTTGATCTGTAAGTCTTCCATTTTGTCAACAACATTTATTTAAAGTAACATTTATATCAGTGTATATACCCAAAACGTCATCCTAGGTTTTGTCCTGAATTTTGTTCCTAATTTTTGCTCGCTTGTTTTGATGCATGCGTTGGAAAGCTGGGCGTGTGGAGTGATCCTTTTCACCTTACTGGCTGGCTCGCCACCATTCTGGCATCGCAAACAGATGCTGATGCTGAGGATGATCATGGAGGGTCGCTATCAGTTCAGCTCCCCAGAGTGGGACGACAGGTCTGACACTGTGAAAGACCTGGTAAGACTGATAAACCTTAATGTTTGATGTTTAATTTCAGTTTATAAAGTAAGATACAACGGTCCTTCAGCAGAAAACAGAGTATGTGACAAAATCATGAGGTTAAACCATAAAGCTATTTGTTTGTGCTGCTCAGATTTCCAGGCTGCTGGTGGTGGACCCGACTGTCCGTCTCACTGCTGAGCAAGCCTTAGCGCATCCCTTCTTCAGACTGTACCAGAAGGAGAATGTGCGTCTCTTCAGTCCTAGAAAGACCTTTAGGGTAGGTCACTGTGTTGACTTGGCCTTTTTTTTTTATAGCAGCTGATTTTAAAATTTTAAACCTTAAACAAAAAGAAAAAAAAGTCTCCCTTCTCATCTGTTTTTCTTTCATGCCTCCTCAGGTGTTGATCGTCAGCGTGCTGGCCTGTATCAGGATGTACAGCCGTTACCGCAGGGCTCGGCCGCTCACACGCGAGGTACTGGCCAGAGACCCGTACTCCCTTCGTGGTGTCCGCAAACTCATTGACGGTTGCGCCTTCCGCATCTATGGGCATTGGGTGAAGAAAGGGGAACAGCAGAACCGAGCCGCCCTCTTTCAGAACACAGCTAAGATCATGCTGCTTGGCCTGGAGGACTTTGAAGCATAAAAGGTTAACCTCATTCCTAACCACATTGATTTTAATTTAAACATTCGCATGCGCTGTCATGTCAGCGTTTGTCTTGTCGCATTACTGTGTTTAATTTTAAGATGGGGAATTCAGGGACCTGGATGTTTGTATGCCTTAATATGCACTGTGGTCCTGCAAGCTAAAGATAAGCATGCATTATCTGTGCTTTCATCCAAGTTTGTGGGTTTGAAACTCCTCTTGTCAGGTCATCATGTTCGCAGTGTCAGTTTGCAGAAAACACGTTGCACAATCGTTTGAATAAAGATGTTACAGAAAGGTATGTTTTATACATTTAGGATTTTAGATCTGTAAGTCAGTTATAACTGAGTAGAGGATGTGTTTCTAGGCACTGTTTGGCTGAAGTGAACATTAAAGCACTGTGAATCATTATTTAATATATAATTATTTACACATATTGTAACAGGGCTCAGATTTACAGATATTTCAGTGTTACATGGCATGTATACAGTGTTTTGGAGTGTTTTGGTAGAGAATCCTGTAGCTGTCATGCATGCAGACATTCCTTAATAGGAAACCTACTTACACTAACTGTGATGACCGTCTGTTACTGTATTTCCTATTAAAACTAACAAACACAATTCCCAACTCAGTTCATTCCCCAGTTTAATAAATGGCACTTTTCCTGAAAGTGTGAGAAATGTACAGTAATTATACAAATGTAGGTATAAATTGTACTGTATATGAAAAAAAGAAAACAAGTTGTATTAACAATAAAACAAATGTTTGAGTCAGAATTTACTCATTTTGTGTGAGTGCTTATTTGGAATCCATTATTTTTTGGCCTTGTGGTTGAGCTGTGGAGATTCTAGGGCTCGGTTGTGTTGACCTGCCATTTCTTTCATTCGCTGATCTAGTTGTCCGGACACATGCATCATCTGCTCTTTGACCTCTTTCTCTATCAGCGCCTTCAGTTCTGAGTTTGAACCTGAAAGTGAGGAAATTAAGCAGATACAATACACCAGTTAGAGTGCACTTGACTTAAACATTTATTTCTGCAGTCTTTTTTTATGATCTTACCGAGCATGTCTCCCTCTGACTCTGCAATGGATGCTTCTTGTGTTTGAGGGCCGCTGTCTGTCTTTGCTTCTGCTTCTTTGTCCATCACATTTTGGTTGCAGGAAAAGTACTTAAAAGTGTTATTAAATCTTTTCCAAGGTCGTCTAGAATATCAAGAATATTCTGATTTTCCATGTAACACAACGTAAAATTGAAGACGTTTGTTAAGAGCGAGGAGATTGAAGTTATTTTTATGTTTATGGATTTTCAAAAACAACGAGAAGTTCGTAAATTTGATGCATTTACATTACAAGGATGTCAAATATTTTTAAATCAGGAAATGTATAATTTACTGTTTTGTCTTTTCTTACTCTTCCACATTCTATATTTTCGTCGCTCAGCCTCGTTCTTAAAATTTTAAATTGCTTTTGTTCAGTCCTAGTTGCGTCCTTAAAGTTGAAAACATTTTAAACCTTTTTCATGCTACCAAACACATTTGTGCTTCTACAACTGCTGATACGCTGTAATTATTACCTGGAGCAGAAGAATCCTCCACAGTATGTTTATCCTGGTCTGGGATCCCAGAGTAAGTCAAAGACAAATCAAGTTTTACCTGTGAAAATTAATACTAAAAAGCTCATTATTCTCTCAATATTGTATTTTAACTTTACTAAAATGAAATATGAATCCTAGCAGAACTAGCTTGAAACTATTTGTGCAGAATAACTAATTTCCGGTTTCTTACCTGTGGAGTGAAAATATATTTGTAGAGTTTGTAGTGTCTCATATAGCTGTTGTGTATGTACTGTAAGATGCAGCTCACCTCCTCAGAGCTGAAGAGGTTGATACTAAAGGGAGGTCTCTGTAGGGGGCAGACACGGACAAACATTACATTACTGAAAATGTACAGGTGTGAAAACAATATTGTGAGTAAAAAAAGATTGTTTTACAGACCCTGACTGAGTGACAGAGAAGTAGCTCCTTGCAGTATTTGAAACACTGCTCTATGTTGTTAAGTGGAGTTTCTGTAAGAAATTAGTTTCAAACACATTTTGCATAAAGTTAAGGAACATTTAAATGAATTATTTTAACAAATCAACCTGTAATATTTACCCATCAGCATGCTGTATTTTACCATAGCATCTAAATATTGAATTGGTTGTCATAGTTACTATTAGTATGTAGTTAGCACGAACTGTGTCAGCTGCAGAGGTAACACAGTCAATGTTGAAAACCAGTTCCATTTCAAACTACTAACCTAGATGACAATAATATGATTTTACGTACGTATGTTAGCCTCATGAATGGACTTGATGATGGACAAGAGAGCAGACGTTTGTTCTTTTTTGAAGCTGTGCTGTCTGCAGAAGAGCACAGTCTGCACATACATCTCCAGCAGAACTCCTCTTCTGGGTTCAGGGAGGTCGATGCCAAACACACTGCACAAAGCACTGCCACAGAACATAAGAAACAGTCATTGATCAGTGCTGTGTGATTTTGTATCAATACATAGATGTGTTTCTGGTCATAAACAAGGGCAGAAACCTCTCCAGATCAGGAACGGACTGCATTTTGTCTACTTCCTCCATGTCATGGTAGCTTACATCTGTCCTGAAAAAACACCCAGGGTTCAGGTTCAGACATTATATTTAGTGATAAATAAAGCAGCAAACGGTCCAAGTGATCGAGATTGTAAAAACAGCTCTCACCATAACATCACTTTAGCTTTCAGGGTCTGTGGTTCCTACAGAACAAAACAATGCTTGCTTAATATGCAATGCATTACAAGGCAATAAGAATGGTTGTATATAGTGTCAAATATAAATCTTTATATTTTAATTATGATTAAAAAAACAAAGGATGTTAAACGAGCAGACGGTAAAATGAACCCAGCTGCTAATCTAGATAAAACAAGCTAAATGTATGGAGCCTACCTTTATTCTCGTTTCCATGTTTTATTTCTTTTGCCGAGTTATAAATTGAGCAAACTGAAGGCGTTGAAAAACAGCTGAAAAACAGAGGTGCGACTGATCTGATTATGTCATTAAAAGGTATCGATTGTTTGTTTGTCTTTTTAACATGTAACAGCATTGGTAGAAACCTCACTTTGGCCCAAACAGACTTCAGTGAAGCTGAATAATGTCCTGTTTGGCTACCTCGCTGTATCCTAGCAACAGTATATCCTTTTTTCTTTTTCCGGTTTAGCGCGTGGTACAATCTTAAAAAACAGTAACTACTAATACTAATAATACTACT